GGGGACAAGTAATTGACTAGTCAACCCAAGTCAATGAGTTGTACTCTAAGCTTTGTGAATAGTTCCCTTGTTCCCTTACACTTTTCCATCTTAGTAAGGGTAATGAAGACATTTCACCTCATGATTGTATTCCAAGCTAACCTAGAGTTTGCCTTTCATTCTTTCCCTTACACTCTCAAAACAAAAGCTCCTCCTTCTCTCTAGAATTTAGCTAGCTTCTCCTTCAAGCTATGTTTGGGCATTCCAAGATCTTCCAAGTTTGTCTCCAAGATTCCTCATTTCCTACTCTTGAGCATCTAGGAGGGTAAGATCTATGGTCCTTTTGTGTTTTTAGTGCTTTCTAAGGTATCTTTTTCCAAAGATGAAATCTTTATGGTCTTTTGGTGTGTTCTTGAAGTTGGGGTTGAAGGAGAGCCTCGTTCGGAGCTTGAAAAGGTGTATTAAGTGAAGATTTTGTCTACAAGAGGTAACCCATGCTTTACAAAATCTATTTTCATTACCTATATGATGATTTCTTGGATTCTACATGTGATTTTTGCTATGAAATGTGAGATTTGATGCATTGTCTTGTGGGAATGCATATCTAGAGCTTGTTATTAGGGTTCTTGTATGCCATTGCTTGGCTATTCCTTTGATTCAAGTCGTGCTGTTGTATTTTGTGAGATTTTGGGTGTTTTGGGCTTGAATTTGAGCTTGGTGTTGAAAATCCCCGAAGGGATTATTTGGTACAGGGTTGTGTACCCGTGGGCGGAACGGCGGGTAGGGGTCCACCCGCGGGGTACAAGGCTGGTGGAACAAGGTTCGCGCGGGCGGAACCACGGGTGGGGGTCCACCCGTGGCCCCACCCGCGGGGTACAATGGTGGTTTGTGTGGGGATTTGTTCCCCGTGATTCTTTTGACTCGTTAATTGATGTTTTGACTTCCCGATGTTCTTTTGTTGAACTATTTGAGTGTCTTTTTGATGTTTCGTATGTCTAGAACTGTGTTAGGAATCCATGTAGGATTTGGTGTCTTGAATCGTGCTAAGTGTTCAACCTTGTGATTCGTTGAACCATGATGAGTCTTGTATGTTCTTCGGAATAACGTTTGGTTTACTCGTTTGATAAGCATGCTAGTTCGGTGTTGAAATGCTAGCGTGTGTTGTTTGTTCTTTCCTATTGTGGATGATGACTTGTGTTGATCATCGTCGTTGTCGGATTGTGATCCTTTCCTTGTTGAGTATGGTTTCATATCTTTGTTGTGATCCATTGATTGATTCCTATGATGGTGTGGTGTGTGTGTCTGTACCTAGATTGCACGATTAATGGTATGGGACATTAGTCACCAAGGTACGACAGTGGTCCTCGTGGTGGCCATGATGTGATTATGGAGTTTGTGACCTGTGTGTAAGGTTCACGTGTTCTTGGGTGGCTTCGGCCGTGTGTGTGAACGGTACCCTCGTGTACTATGAAATCGGTGGATATGTTGGAGATTGTAGGAGTGGGGACGACAGTCCTCGGAGGCATAAGGTTGGACTTTGGAGTACAGGGGTCCTGGAGGTAAAGGTTGGAACTAGTTATAAGGTTGGGGGTCGCTATAAGGTTGGAACCGGGCATAAGGAAGGATTATTGAATTCGTGATGTGTGATGTCACGAAGGCATGTGTTGCCAATGTGTGTTTCTCTATTCGTGATGAGTGATGTCACGAAGGCATGTGTTGCCGTTGTGTGTTTCTTTATTCTCATTTGTTGAGCATGTCGGGTGTTATTCTATTGAGTGATGGTAGAATACGCCTTGGGATGTGTTCCCTTTTCGTTGTTGTGAGTGATATAGAGTCTTTGTGGTTGACTACTATCTTTGGTTTTGAACTAATATATATAGTATTCCGTTTCGAAAATGATTTTGCAATAAACTATCTATATATATATATATATATATATATATATATATATTATATATATATATATATATATATATATATATATATATATATATATATATATATATATATATATATATATATATATATTATATATATATATATATATATATATTATATATATATATATATATATATGCTATTGACGCGTATTGATGGGTTACCAACATTATTCGCTGACCGGGCGTCGTCCCATTTATTTATGTGCTTTTCAGGTCCCGAGTAGTCGGCGAGCGCGATAGAGATGGCTAGTTTAGTTTCCAAGACAGTTGTAGTTGAGTTTTGGGCCTGTGTGCCCCTTATGCTAGACATATTAGATTGTGATGTTGTTTTAACCTTGCCTATGCGTTCACTTTAGTGTGGATGTGGCATAACACTCTCCCTTTTCTGTCTTTATATATATAGACTCCCGCTGTGTTTTACTTATGATTCGTGGTTAGATTTCTTGCATATTTAAGTTTAAAATGGCATGAAAATTGGGAGTGTTACAGTTGGTATCAGAGCCTAGGTTTGAGCCTAGGATGCTAGACTCTACTAGACTTTTAAAGAGGTTAAGTGTGTCTTGAGACCCGAAACGACCGTAAGAATCTAAGTGATTAGGACTTAGGACTCTTTGGACGCGCTGTGAGCTGTGTGCTGTTTATACTTTGCTTGCTTGCTTGTTGTTTTGTTTTGTAATAGTGTTGTTGTTGTAGAAGCTTTGCGATGGCACCACCCCGTCAGCGCGCACACACGTCGGAGACCCCGACAAACGAACAGCTTGCCCAGAATCTGCAACAGCTCACGCAGACTATGCAGACCCTCAGCGAGGCGTTGTTGCACAACAACAATCCCGCTCCACCTCCACAGCCTACCAGGCATAGAGATATAGGGCGCCTTGGGTCGGGCCATAGACCTCCGACGTTCACCGGTGAGGAAGACCCAGTTGTTCTCGAAGAGTGGGTTCGGACGTTCGACAAGATCTTCTCGATCGTTGGGTGCCCCGAGGAGCGCCGCGTGGAGCTAGCATCGTTCTACTTCAGCCACGAAGCTGATTTGTGGTGGATGCATGAGGGACCAGCTTGCCTCGAGGAGCCTGACTTCGACTGGACGGCTTTGAAGGACCGGATGCGAGAGCGGTTCTATCCGGCGCATGTTCGAGCCGCGATGTATAAGGAGTTTCTGCACCTCCAACAAGGTTCTTCATTGGTGGTTGAGTACCACAAGAGGTTTCTAGAGCTCGCTCGCTTCGCCAGGTTGCTTGTCCCCACCGAGCTAACCAAAGTTGAGAAGTTCGTAGCAGGTTTGAACTACGAGGCGCGCAAGGCTTTAACCGTGAGCAAGCCGAGGTCTTTGAAGGAAGCTTACTTGAGTGCAACAGACTTGTATCAGGTGCAGCAGCTACAACGTGGATCTTATGAGCTTGCCAGGAAGAGGACCGAGAGCGGAGGATCTTCTAACTTCAAGAGGCCAAAGCAGAACTTCCAAGCCAAGAATGCACCTTCTCCAACTCAAGGACCACCTCGAACGGAGTCCGGAAGCCAAGCCAAGAGGTTCGCATGTCTAAAATGTGGTAAGGAGCATGCTGGTCAGGATTGCAACGATTTTGTGTTCCGATGTTTTCGATGCGGGGAGAGAGGACATAAGATTGCCGAGTGCCCTCAGCAAGCCAACCAAAGGGCGTTGCCACCGTCTTCGGGTCCCGGAGGAGCATCGGGAGGGAGCTCGAGTCGTGGAGCAGCCGGGGCTAGACCCTCAGGTCGGGTTTTCGTGAAGGGGCGATCTTAGGCGGAGACTGAGGGTTTGATTGAGGATGAGATAGCAGGTAACCCTTTTCTAGCCTACCCAAAACAACTTGTTCTTTGTTGCTTTTGTGTGTTGTCTTGTTTTCTTCGTTGCCTTTTTGTGTTGTCTATTGTTGCCTGATTCTTTTTGTCTTAAGTGAAAGCCTTTCGTGAAGTTAATTGTTTACTCCTAAAATGAGTCACGTAATTCCATAGCCATGCACATGTACTCTTGTAACCCATATTTTGTGAGTCACCTAAATTTATCTAAGTGTCCTTTGAGTTTATAATAGACACCTAAATTTATCTAAGTGACCTAAATTTATCTAAGTGTCCTTTAAGTTTATAATAGACCATCCATGGAATTTCTTCTTGTGTAGCCTAAAAAGCTAAGTAAATTTTAAATTGTAACCCCTAAGTTTTGAACCTAAGTGTACCATTTACTAACCCAACCCTTGAACCACTTGAGCTTATGATGTTTCTTAACCTTAACTCAATTTTAATTCTACTTCACCCATAAATTCTCACTTGCCGTTGTGTGTTTCTTTATTCTCATTTGGTGAGCATGTCGGGTGTTATTCTATTGAGTGATGGTAGAATACGCCTTGGGATGTGTTCCCTTTTCGTTGTTGTGAGTGATATAGAGTCTTTGTGGTTGACTACTATCTTTGGTTTTGAACTAATATATATAGTATTCCGTTTCGAAAATGATTTTGCAATAAACTATCTATATATATATATATATATATATATGCTATTGACGCGTATTGATGGGTTACCAGCATTATTCGCTGACCGGGCGTCGTCCCATTTATTTATGTGCTTTTCAGGTCCCGAGTAGTCGGCGAGCGCGATAGAGATGGCTAGTTTAGTTTCCAAGACAGTTGTAGTTGAGTTTTGGGCCTGTGTGCCCCTTATGCTAGACATATTAGATTGTGATGTTGTTTTAACCTTGCCTGTGCGTTCACTTTAGTGTGGACGTGGCATAACACTCTCCCTTTTCTGTCTTTATATATATAGACTCCCGCTGTGTTTTACTTATGATTCGTGGTTAGATTTCTTGCATATTTAAGTTTAAAATGGCATGAAAATTGGGAGTGTTACAGTTGGTATCAGAGCCTAGGTTTGAGCCTAGGATGCTAGACTCTACTAGACTTTTAAAGAGGTTAAGTGTGTCTTGAGACCCGAAACGACCGTAAGAATCTAAGTGATTAGGACTTAGGACTCTTTGGATGCGCTGTGAGCTGTGTGCTGTTTATACTTTGCTTGCTTGCTTGTTGTTTTGTTTTGTAATAGTGTTGTTGTTGTAGAAGCTTTGCGATGGCACCACCCCGTCAGCGCGCACGCACGTCGGAGACCCCGACAAACGAACAGCTTGCCCAGAATCTGCAACAGCTCACGCAGACTATGCAGACCCTCAGCGAGGCGTTGTTGCACAACAACAATCCCGCTCCACCTCCACAGCCTACCAGGCATAGAGATATAGGGCGCCTTGGGTCGGGCCATAGACCTCCGACGTTCACCGGTGAGGAAGACCCAGTTGTTCTCGAAGAGTGGGTTCGGACGTTCGACAAGATCTTCTCGATCGTTGGGTGCCCCGAGGAGCGCCGCGTGGAGCTAGCATCGTTCTACTTCAGCCACGAAGCTGATTTGTGGTGGATGCATGAGGGACCAGCTTGCCTCGAGGAGCCTGACTTCGACTGGACGGCTTTGAAGGACCGGATGCGAGAGCGGTTCTATCCGGCGCATGTTCGAGCCGCGATGTATAAGGAGTTTCTGCACCTCCAACAAGGTTCTTCATTGGTGGTTGAGTACCACAAGAGGTTTCTAGAGCTCGCTCGCTTCGCCAGGTTGCTTGTCCCCACCGAGCTCGCCAAAGTTGAGAAGTTCGTAGCAGGTTTGAACTACGAGGCGCGCAAGGCTTTAACCGTGAGCAAGCCGAGGTCTTTGAAGGAAGCTTACTTGAGTGCAGCAGACTTGTATCGGGTGCAGCAGCTACAACGTGGATCTTATGAGCTTGCCAGGAAGAGGACCGAGAGCGGAGGATCTTCTAACTTCAAGAGGCCAAAGCAGAACTTCCAAGCCAAGAATGCACCTTCTCCAACTCAAGGACCACCTCGAACGGAGTCCGGAAGCCAAGCCAAGAGGTTCGCATGTCTAAAATGTGGTAAGGAGCATGCTGGTCAGGATTGCAACGGTTTTGCGTTCCGATGTTTTCGATGCGGGGAGAGAGGACATAAGATTGCCGAGTGCCCTCAGCAAGCCAACCAAAGGGCGTTGCCACCGTCTTCGGGTCCCGGAGGAGCATCGGGAGAGAGCTCGAGTCGTGGAGCAGCCGGGGCTAGACCCTCAGGTCGGGTTTTCGTGAAGGGGCGATCTTAGGCGGAGACTGAGGGTTTGATTGAGGATGAGATAGCAGGTAACCCTTTTCTAGCCTACCCTTGTCTTTAGAAAACAACTTGTTCTTTGTTGCTTTTGTGTGTTGTCTTGTTTTCTTCGTTGCCTTTTTGTGTTGTCTATTGTTGCGTGATTCTTTTGGTCTTAGTGAAAGCCTTTCGTGAAGTTAATTGTTTACTCCTAAAATGAGTCACGTAATTCCATAGCCATGCACATGTACTCTTGTAACCCATATTTTGTGAGTCACCTAAATTTATCTAAGTGTCCTTTTTAAGTTTATAATAGACCATCCATGGAATTTCTTCTTGTGTAGCCTAAAAAGCTAAGTAAATTTTAAATTGTAACCCCTAAGTTTTGAACCTAAGTGTACCATTTACTAACCCAACCCTTAAACCACTTGAGCTTATGATGTTTCTTAAACTTAACTCAATTTTAATTCTACTTCACCCATAAATTCTCACTTTATCCAAAATCCCCAAATTAAATCATCTTCTTTTCCCAATTTCTCCCAAAATCCCTAAACCCCAATTCTTTTTTTCCCCTCTTCCTCTCTACCTGTGCGCACAGCCGAGACACCCCCTCCCCACCACCCGTCGGTTTCCTGTCCCCACCGAGACCAAACCACCGCCGACGCCACCTGACGCCATCGCCACCACCGGAGCCTCGCCGTCGACTTGCTATGCTGCCGTGAACCGAGAGCAGCGAGAGAGAGAGAGAGAGAGAGAGAGAGAGAGAGAGAGAGAGAGAGAGAGAGAGAGAGAGAGAGAGAGAGCAGCGAGAAGGGTGAAGAGAAGAATGAGAAAAGAGGAGAAAAAGCCTTGGGTCTTGTCGTTGAGCCTTGGGTCATCTTGCAACCATGCCTAGGAGAACAAGCTTAGCAAGGAAAGTGGAATAGGTGGATGCCCATTATCTCGTTTTGGAAGGTAAAGCTTTTGACCCGGAATCTTTTCCAAGTTCTTTGTTGGATATGTTGAGATATCAAGGCTTGTTAGATGGGTTCCTCACCATAAGGGTTGAGACATACCCGAGCTTGGTTAAGGAGTCTTATCATCACATGGTTGTGACTAAAGACGGTGGGAAGCTAGAAGTTACCTCTAAGGTGAGAGGCGTGAAAGTTGTTTTGTCTGAGAAAAGACTGGCTCAACTCTTAAGTCTGACCGCTACGGGAGTTTCACAGTACAGTGGTAACTCTTGGGTTAGTACGGATACCATGAGGTACAGGGACTATTTGAGTTATCTGTTGGGTCGGACGAGTGGGTTCACTCAAGCCTCGAGACCGAAGAAGAAATGGTTGTCTGCCGAGCAGAGGATCTTGGTGATGCTTGTGTCGGATTGTTTGTTGCCCAATAACAACAAAAGTCGGTTGTTGGGAAATCTAGAGTGTACCTTTGCCTTATGTCTGAAGAACATGGTGAAGTTAAACCTGCCTGCCTTGATGTTGCAACACATGGTCTTTTGTCGAGACCACAACTGGAAGAGCCTGCTATACGGGATGGTTTTGAGTTGGATTTTCGCCAAGAAAGGCGTGAGTGTTGAAGGTTGTGTGCCGAAGCCCGTAGGAAAGATGGTGTTGGATGCTATCAATTTGCGAAGCTGCAACTTGTTCCAGTTGGATGGCGGTGAGTACATCATGCTTGAGGAAGTTGCTAGGAAAGCCCCCGAGGAAAGAGACGAGTTGGTAATCGAGCAACTCAAGCAGAACCCAGACTAAAGAAACTAAAGAGAACAATGTAAGAAGAAGACTAAAAAGTGAAATGACTAAATTACCCATGGCAAATCGGAGCTATCGCCGGATTTTGGACGGGCTACGGTCAGAGGGGCTAAATCAACTAAAAACAGTTATTTTCAGGGACTAAATCGATGATTACGCGATTAATGGACTACATTAATATTTCGCTAACAATTGAGGGACCAAACCGTTGATTTTCCCTTATTATTATTACTAGTATTTTCACCCGTGCGATGCACAGAATGAATTTGTTATAATATATTAAAAATATTTGAATCGATATATAATTATTTAAATTATAACATCAAATACTCTGTATTATATAGTGCAATTGAAGATATGGTTTGGATCGTTTATGTTTGTTAATGTTATCATTGCTTGAATTCGAGCAAGTAATTGCGCATGCGGTGCTGTAACTTAAGAGATTTTTATATATCATTGTTTAGGATTTTTATAAATTGGGCAAATGTGCTCGTTCTCTAGAAACTTAGTTATAGTAATCAATTGCTATCCTAATTCATTTGTATAGAGGATATATTTTTGTCTAGATATATAACAATTTTGTCATTTTGAAAAAAAAACATAATATCATCAATTGTATTTACACATTATTGAAAACCCCTTTGTAGACGACATTGGTAGTCGCAACACAATCTTGTCCATCCTTGTCTAGAACTAACGCCTTCAGACCATCAGGATGGGTTACTCGGGAGAAAACCTTGTAAAATTGTCTGTGATTAAAGACCGGTTTTTAGCAATAACCCAACGTGATTTAGTGTTTGACCTTGGCTTTTGTTGATAGTCATGGCATATGCAAGCATCAATGAGAATTCTTTATGCTGGAACTTGAAGGGAAATCTTGTATCAAAAGCAGTGAGAGACATTCGGGGGATAAGAGCTTTGGTTTCTTCATGTATCCCATTAACTATTCTTGCTTTGACAATGTGATATACCAATCTTGTGATGATGCGTCGCATCCTGTTACAAAGACCAAGATAGTGCTCTATGTTTCACAATAACATAACAGGTGCACCGACCTTTAATGTCAATGAATGATTATGATGACTTGGCAATCTCAAACTATTTAAGAATTCAGGAGTGTGTACTCTTGATAGATTTTCACTGTCTGATTCTGCCTTCCAAAAGAGTCACAACTTAAATATATTCGTCCTTCTGCAGTATTCATGTTACACATGTACTGATTAATTTGTTCAACGACATCTAAAGTCTGCGAGAGGATTGCTCGGCTTTCTAGCTGCGACTCATCAAGCATGCCATATCTCGAGCTTTGGAATGTGCTTTCCACTATAGTTGCTATGGGATTGTGTCCACACTTCAACAAAAATAGTGCCGGAATATCGATTTCAAATGAACCCAAGTTTACAACCCCTGCAATCCCAACTCCGATGTCTGCAATCCATTTTGAAAACCAATCAACCGTCTGATCTGTCTATCTTCTTCTAAAGCTAAGATCCATAGTTTCAAGTTCTTGGTGAGCCTTAATACCTTGAAATTTGTCTACAGGTATGAAGAATTAATATTTGCTCCGACAACTACTGGTATTGTTACTTTCGAAATAACAGGTAGGATCTGTTTAAAATCGTCACCCAAAACTATTGTCTTTCCACCAAAAGTCTTTTCAGCACTACCCGGTATGACGAACCTCAATAGATCCCTCATGGTTTTGTCCAAGGCCTCAAAATAGTATTTGTGCGTCATCCCATATTATCAATTTGCTCCTTATTATAAGCTCATCACGATCACTTCCTTGCGATATATTGCACGTGGGATGGAATCTTCATTCAAGGAGAGTGGTAGAGCAAACCTGGATTGCGCTGTCCTGCCTCCCGGCAAGAGCAAAGATGCTATTCCACTGGAAGCAACATTCAGAACAATATCACCGTGACTCCTTATCTTTGACGATTACGTTCTCGACACGAACGTCTTGCCTGTTCCTCCGTAACCATATACAAAGAACAATCCACATCTATTGGAATCAATATCATTCTTCACAGAGTCGTCGTAAACATTCTTTTGCTCGTCGGTCAATTGTGTTACCAATGTTTCATGCATTGTCTTCAATGATTCCTTGTCATACGCCAACTCTTCAGCTATCAACATGTTTTGACTCAAACTTATGCTAGTTTCGTCTGGAATTGGCATTTCTGAGAAGTCCTTCAGGCCCTTCCCCCACAAAGATATCAACTTCTCCAACTCCACCAAAGCAAACTATTTTTTATCTGAATCCGATAACTTCAACTCTTAAAAGGAAAAAAAAAACAAATTAGTTTATTTATAAATAAGAGTTAATACCATATAGAGTCTTCCGAGTATAGTGGTTTGCCACGTTTAGTCCTAAAACTTTCAAATTACCACTCATGGTCCTTCGACTTTCAAGTTGTTACCATCTGCGGTCCAAATTAACCACTCATGGTCCTTCAACTATAAAAATTTAACCACCCATGGTCCTTCCAAGAGGACCGCGACTGGTTAAATTTTGAAAGTTGAAGGACCATAGGTGGTTAACTTGGACTACGGATGGTAATAATTTGAAAGTTGAAGGACCATGGGTGGTAATTTAAAAGTTTCGGACTAAACGTGGCAAAACCACTATACTCGGAGGACCCTAGATGGTATTAACTCTTACAAATAATTAAAAATAAACAACAAAGTTGAATAAATAGATTGGAGTAAACTAAATATCGTTGATTCAATGTTGAGTAGTGACGAAAAAATAGGAATAGGAATTTTAATATTGTTTTATTTTTAATATTAAATAGATTGCACAATATAATATTTGTTGTTATAATTTATATAATCGTATATCAAGTCAAATATTCTTAAAATTCTAGTATTTTCACCCTTACGTTGCATGAAATTGATTTGTTATAATATTTAAGAATATTTGAATTGATATACAATTATATAAATTATAATAACAAATATTATATTGTGCAATTGATGAAATAGGTTAGATTAATTATGTTTTTTATTGATGTTATCATTGCTTGAATTCAAGCAAATAATTGTCCAATCACCCATGCGATGCACATATAAATTTTTTATTATATATTTAGATAATAAAATTAAAGATGAAATTATAAACAATTCTAATATTTGAAAATGTACATTTATTTGATTATAAGATTAGTATAAAAGTATCACTCAATTAATTGAATAATATATGACTCGTTTGTCTGCAATTATCTTAAAAAATCGATATGTAATATGATTTATGTAATTATATTATTACTAA